GTATTTATCTTTTTATCTTTTATTACTTCATTAAGGTAAAAATCACGGCTAGCCAAATTTATATTGTTTCACACACACACACACGCACACACACACACGCACACACACACACACACACATATATATACACACACACACACACACACACACACACATATATATATATGTATATATTTGTGTGTGTGTGTATGTATGTATGTATGTATGTAAAAGATAGTTTAGGGGTTGTAGTGTTGACACATGTCATACGTGACAAGGCAGTAAACGCCAACGCGTACAGACCTCAAACATTAAACGCCAACGTGTAGGCCAATGTGTGCAGACACTAAGCATTGATGTTCGTCTTTCGCAATTCTCGCTTCAATAGTAACATGTACAGANAAAATCATTACAAAAAATGAATCTCTTCAACCACCAACATCAAATTAAAAAACCCCAAAATAGAATAATATCACTCTTCACATTTCACAAAACAAAAAGATACAATGTAGCCTTTCAAAATCCTACAAAACCAAAACATACACAACCCTTTAACACATGCCCAAGCGTAGCACGGAAGAAAATTAAATCATAAACCAAACTCTCCATTTTCAACCATCGCATCAATAACATTATGACAACGAGCCCTAATAACAAGCCCGTGCGTAGCACGGGGTAGAAAACTAGTTTCCTTGTATAACCACACGGTGAAACTTCCTATGTATATTTGATTTATTTCCTTGTATAATCCTAACAAAATTTATGCTCTTATGAAAATTGACTTGTCTATTAATACGACCCCTATACTGCCACATGTCAACACATCAAATTGCCACATGTCATAATTCTAGACTATCAACTCTCAAATATTAAATTAAAGGATGCCAAGGGTATACCAAGAAATGTACCTCAAGTTATACCACAAAGAGAAATACCATAATTTTAATGATTCACATTGACACAAAATGCTAGTTCAATCCAAATAATTGTACTGACATTTTGTGGCATTGTAAACATCACACTAGCATTACACTAGTACAAAATATTGGTACATGTCTTTGGGGTATGAAGTGGGGTATACTTTTTTGGCTACAAATAAATTTTTTTCATGTAAAAAAACCTCAACCATGTCAAGGGTACACTAAAAAATGTATCCCAAATTGTAGCACAAAGAGATGCACGAGTATTTTCACGGTTTACACTGACACAAAATGCTAGTGAAATAAAAAAAATTGCACTGACATTTTGTACCATTGTAAATAATCGCACTAGCATTACACTAGTACAAAATACATGCCTTTGGGGTACAAAGTGAGATATAATTTTTTAGATAGAAATAGTTTGTTCACAAAACAATCCATGGTTGGAATCGATGACAAGGTGGAATGACTAGCTATAATGATTTATTATGATTAAAGACAAACAATAAATAACTTGAGAAAGAGAAATGATAGAGTCAGAAACACTTCGGTCACAAAATACACAACCTTACCATTTGTGTACCTCACTAAATGAATAAAATGATGTTGAATAATTAAAAAGTAAACATTAAATACACAAATGGTAAATTTGTGTATTTTGTGACCAAAATTTTTGTGACTAGCGTTTCTCACTTAGTACTTCAGGTAATATAACTGCCTGTAATGTTGGGAGACGATAGTCTCATATGTAAGCCTATGCAGCATGTTATATCAGCTTTTCACTCACATTTCCTACAAATATTTTTTATCCTCAAGAGTATCCTATCAATCTATCGGGACGGATGCAATGTTACGTCTAGGGATGTAAATAAGTCAAATATTTTATATTCGATTCGTGATTCGTATTCGAATATGATTGTTCGAATTCGCGTTATTCAAATACAAATTCAAATTCAAATATTAGTTATGATTCGAATATTAAACAAATACAAATACAAATAGAGGTGTATTCGATTCGGATGATATTCGAATATTCGAATATATTTATATACACAGACCATGCATGTTTTCAACATCAGTAATCAAGCAAACTATTTTCAAAAATATATTCGGAGTACAATATAAATTACATTTAAATTACTAAGATTTCATGATATTAACATAATACAAAAATTTAAAGCATGAAATTTTTAATAGTTATATTTTCAAAAATATAATTTGTGTAAGACACAGATGTATTAATACTTTTAGATATGGTATAAGAAATATTGTAAGTTAAATTATTCAAAATCGACATATAAATTACGGAGTATGATTATTCAAATATTCGTTTACGATTCGTTAACTATTCGAATATTAATCAAATACAAATACAAATCTTATTTTTAATTCGTTTTATATTCGTATTCGGATTCGTATTCAAAAAAAATAATCAAATACAAATTTAAATATTATGATATTCGCTTCGATTCGATTCGTTTACAACCCTAGTTACGTCCATGCAATGCGAGTCTAATTAATTACACTAATTTTGATATTAATAATAATAAAGTTCGATTTCCCTTAAAAAAAATATAGTAATAAAGTTTGACATTATGAATTTAATAGCTAGGCATAACATATACGGATATTCATTCTTGAAATCGTACTCCATCCGTCCATAAATAAATTAAAGTTCTAAATCTGCCTTTTCTTTGTCCGAAAATAAAATCCGTTCCTATTTTTAATTTTAATCCACACTCTTCCCAAAATACCCTCCTCTTCCTTTCGATGGTAGGGTATAGCGGCGGTGGAGGGATTGGCGGTTGTAGTGGGGACTAGCAACGACGAGGTGCGGGAGGAGATCGTGGGGTTGGAAGTGGTGGTGGGGGCCGGCGGCGATGGGGGTGTTGGTGGTGGGGTTGGAAGTGGTGATGGAGTTGGTGATTGTGTGAGGGATAGCGGCGATAGGGAGCTGGCAGAATTGGGCAATTGGCAGTGCGGGAGGCTAGCAATGAGAAGAGTATTTTGGACCATTCGACTCCATAGTCAACCACCAATAAAAATGAACAAAAGTCAGAATGAGAACTTGTTTTCGAGACGGGGGAAGTAACAATAATATTCCCTTCGGTCAGATTTAATATAGTCATTTGATTTTTCTTGATCAAAATTTGTAAACTTTAATTTCGATTTATGAAAAAATATTTTGTTTCAATATAAATATGATATCAATACTTTCCTTTTGAAATGTAATTTTGAAATATTAACTCTTTATAAAATATACTCCTGTTTTTAAAAATATTTCCGTCTAAATATTTTACGCACCCGACAAAATATTTCCGTCTAAATATTTCCATCTAAAATGCCTAAAATACATCCCATTATGTAGTTTATTACGGGTAGAAGTTGTTTTGGGGGTATTTTAGACATTTTAGGTAGAGTAAAAGTATTTTATGATGTGCCAAAAAATTTGGGCGGAAATGCTTTCAAGAACGGAGAGAGAATCTATATATAAATAGAGATATTAATGGTCAAAGTTTTACATTAGAGATCATCAAAAGTCAAGTGAGAAGATTAAATTCCAATGGAGAAAGTGATCTCATCTCTGCATATCGATGAAGAGTTTATTGCTCTAATACCCCCAACAAGTTTGTTAAATGTGCGCCGTTGCTTTTATGATTTCAAAACTTACGTCATTGCCACTTATGATTTTGACATTCTTACGACAATACCCTTCTAAAATCTTTTTAATATTTAGTTAATTTTATATTCATAACAGTTTTTTAACCGATGCCTAATAGATTTCGTCAATGACGTTGAGCCGGGGGTCTCTTTGGAAACAGCCTCTCTACTTTCGAGTAGGGGCAAGGTCTACGTACACACACCCTCCCCAGACCCTACTCTTGTGGGATTTAACTGGGTTGTTGTTGTTGTTGTTGTTATATAAAGTATTTTTATTCATATAGTTTTCTTTTTCGTTACTTTCTTTTCTACTCTTTTTTTCTTTTATTTTAATTTAATTTAAAACAAAAGAAAAGTTATAAAATTAGTTTTTAGGAAAACTTAAAAGGAGAAGAAAAAAACCAGGAAATAAATAGACAATCAGAAATGAGCTATAGTCCAAAAAAATAACGTTTCATTTATTTGGACAAAAAATAAAAATGTATAGTTTGAGACAAATAAATTGTGCATTAATTCTTTGATTTTTTATTTTTAAGACATTATAAAAATAGTTTTAAAAAAGAACTAAAAAAGAAAAAAAGATAAGAAAAAAGAAAAAATAAAGAAAAAAAGAGATGGGCGTTAGTGCACATGTTCAAAATCATAAGAGCACAAGCAGTGGCGAGACTTTCTCATGAGTCATGCCTCGCCCTGCCACATTATCGTCCCATGCCCTGCCCTCACCATGGCAAATGAAATATGACACGCATTGCAAGCCATGTGCGAGGCAATGACACCCATTTTTTTCTTCTTTTTCTCTTTTTTTTGCATTCATAACTTAATCCCTAAGTATTTGTTCTCTTTTGAATAATATGATATTATCTTTTTTAAATTAATTTTATATATACAAATTAGTAAGAAAAAAATTATTAATAGCACCGTGTTTAAAAATTATAACAAATTTTTTACAAAATAAGCAGCGATAAGAATAATTTATTTTATTAAATATACATGAAAAAGGTAAGCACAAAAAATATTATCAAAAATAAAAAATAGTAACTACATCATTTTTGGGAACGGAGAGAGTATAAACAAAGTAGAATTATTTTTATGAAAAAATTAAATAAATTAAATTTTAATAATTAAATACATAAAAATGTAAAAAAGTGACAAAGATAATGACTTGCCACTGTAATGCATGCCACTCCACCTTCTTGCCACACGATGACTGAACTATTTTTTATTGGTTGAAATGTTTTACGTTAACGTGTGGCATTCCATTTTCTGCCTTGCCATTGCCCGTGCCATACGATTCATCATATAGTTGATTGGTATTTTAATCTAGATGGACATTGTTGAAATATGACAACTATACACATTTAACAAAGCATATGACGTATGGGTGCGATAAAACTCTGTGAATGAAACAGGATGGGTTATCAAACATGGCGTCAAAAGCTTAATCTGACTTTGCATTTATGGAACAACATATTGGATCTATGTTTTAGCTTGCAAAGATGAACAATAATCTTTCTTAGAGGAACCATTTCTACTACTGGAGAGACTCCATTGGTCGGAGAACGCCGCCACGGAGGAAGAAACTCCAGCCCCACCGCCGCCGCCCTTCCCGCATTTAGCGACCGTCCTCACGCTCTCGATCAGCTCCTCAGTGGCGGACTCGTGCGACAGAATCTCCAACAACTGTTTGCGGCTGATCACTAGCTTCACTTTCCAAAATAGACTGCACCCCAATCCGCCCTCCCGTCGCCCTTTCCCGCCGGAGATCGACGACGCGCCGCCGGGATTGGAGTTCTTGAGTAGTATCCCCCGGCGGCTGCCGAACGACATTCTGTAGGAAGCAACAGAAAGCTCCTCCTGTTTCGGGTGCGGGGTCTTGTCGAGCGGGAGGAGGTAATAGGAATTCCGGGGAGCCAGAACTTCGTGGTGCGGCAATGGATTCCAGAACAGGTCGTGTCGCCGGAAGATGCCGTGGCCGGGAAACTCGTCGGCGATGGACTCCACCGTGACTGGCGCGTAAAACTCCATGACGCCGTTGGTGGACGTCATCACCCTAACGACGTCCCCGTTTCCCGCATCTCCGCGGCCGGCTGCTCCTCCGAACACGCAATTCCCCATCTTTTTCTTTTGTTTGCTTCTTCGTTACTGTTTTTAATTGGAGCGTAGCTTATAATTGGAGGGAAAGCTCAGACCGTAAAAGTGCATGAGACGTGGTCTTTGGATTCTCGGCGGATTTCTTTTTGGTAGAGACAAAATGATGCCAAAGTTTCGGTCCAAGATATCTCGATATGATTTTTAAATTACTACCCTCTTTAAACTACTTTTTCTTTAAACTTTTCTTCTGGCTTGAGTGGTGGGAAACTCATTCTCTAACATTTATGAGAAAGTTTACCCAATTCGAGCCCTATCAAAAGTGAATATATTGATTCTTTGTGTGTCATTATGTTGAGAATAGTATGAACATATACAATCTTGTAATAGAGTCAATATAATAACATTAAAAAAATGTTCTCTTTGAAATACTTTATTCTTAAAATAATTTCATTTACTCCCTCCGTTCATTAAAATCTTTTCTATTAATTATTTGAGGTACTCGATAACTTCTGATTGCATGTATTTTTATTAGTTATTTGATAAAATAAAATATTCTTGTTACTTATATATTATAGAAATTATGTAGTTTTTGAATATGCAAATTTTACTTTTTATTTTTATACCAATTTGTAAATAAAAATATTTTAAGAAAGATAAAGGTTTGTACATAATAAAAATGATTACGAAGAGGAACGGAAGAGTACAAACTAATTAAAGAGAGATAAAATGTACTCGGCACAACTTATATATCTATCATTTTATTTTGTATTAATTTACGAAATACTATGTATACTTATCGGGTGTATTCAATTGGGAGTATGTAGGATTTTTTTTTGAACTTTCAAAATCTGGGTGTATTCTACCCAAATTTTCAAAGTCTTTAAAAATATGAGGTATTTAATACACCTGAATACACTACTACATAAAAGACTTTACACAGAGGATAAATATGGCTTTTTCCATCGCAAAAGATCAAGATGTTGTCCATGCAACCGATGGGAAAGCTCTTATGTTTACCCATCGAAGAAATGTCCGTTTTGTAAACCTTACACATCGCGTAAATATCCACTGTGTAAACTAATCCCAATAGGTAAATATCTATTGTGTAAACATGAGAGCTTTCTCATCGGTTGCATAGACAACAACATTTTGTGATGGGAAAAGTCATATTCATCCGATGTGTATTCCTTAACAAATTTTAAACAGGAGCACCTAGAGATTGTATGATAAATCTAATGTGTAAACCTTAATGATGTATAAAAAAGTGTTTATTGATAATAAGGAAAACGTATACAGCTGGGGGTGGCCTAAACCTTACATAACGGCCAAGTAAAAAACCAAATGAAGAGTACAAGTGTTCAAAGAAAAGTGCTAAACATTTGGACGCAAATAGCAACAGACATAACAATTGAAATTGGCCACTTAATATAGTGAAATTTAATTTGCACTAAATGAGACTAAAATATAAGTAATTTTTTAATGTAGGACTTAAACTTTTTTATTCCCGAAATACGACTTAATAATGTCTAGTGTGAGGAATAATATCCAGTAAAGATGGATATTTACTTCTATAATGACTAGTTCATAATGACCAAAGGTCCTACATTGGGAAATAAAAACATATGGTCCTATATTGGGAAAGTCATTATGTTTCAGTCCTGTTTAGGTAAATTTCTACTTAATACTCCCTCCGTCCCAGAGTATTTGTCCACTTTCATTTTTACACACCATCCAATGCACTTCTTTAATCCATTTTATCTTGTAATTTGTATATTAAAAAATTATTGAAATTATATATTAATAATCTATATGTTAATACAAATCAAACAAGATCACACATGACTATATTTAGGCTTACACATTGAGAGAATTTGATGAGTCAAAGTGCTTTGATGAACAGTTCCAAAAGTCAAAAGTGGACAAAAATTGGGGGACGGAGGGAGTATATGCCTAGTAGCAGCTACCCAGTCTGGAAACTAGAGGTTTTCAACTGCAATAACGAAAAAAGATTAGTGGGCTGTTGAGTAGAAATGCATCTGAGTGAGTCTGTCATCTAGGATGCTAGATTTGAGTGTAACACCCCAACCCGCGTAACTCGAATACTCGGATTAGCAAATCAGGTTGTTACTAAATTTGTATCCAAACACCACTAAATTTTCAAAATAATTCAAGTAAACATTTCAAAATATAGTTTTACATTCATCAGAATAATATTCAAAACAGGTGCGGAAGCTCAATTCATAATTCAAAACACATGACTCTAACTTACTAACTTATGGCATACCTTGCCACTATTCCATTCAGGTCAGACCCTAGTGTTGACACTCATGTTTACTGTCATGCAACACATAAAGTCTCGAAATCGATCCTAGACGAAACTACAGAATTATTACCGGTTCAGGTACCTCACGGTACCCTCAACGATAGAAGGTACTGACCCCATGGTAACAGGGTACCGTCCCACGATACGTGCGTACCGTCCGTCACAGGTGTAACTCCCCTCTGGTAGGCCTGTCGCGGTAGCCTCTAACGACTTGGCGGTAGGGCCCATCCGCCCGGTACACAGGTACCGTTTGGTGATAGGTACCAGCAGAGAGGAGGGAAAACAGGGAAGGCGGCGGTATCTCGGATTCTCAGTACCGTGCCAGCGGTACTAGTCTACCGTCGTTCGCGGCGAAGCCTTACTCTTCACTAGCTCCGTATCAAACCAACATCAATCACCAATTAACAGCCATCAATAGGTTCTATATTTATATTCAAAACTTATCTAACATGCTCAAAAATCAAATCCAATTCATGCACCTCAAATCATAAACAGTGTAAACAAAACATAACTCACGCAGGGTTCACATAATTCAACCGCAACGACTCTACAACCGTAAGATTCAAACCTATTATTATAACCATATGTTAGATGTCCACGTACTCACCTCGAATTCGACGAATATATTACAACGATAATACCAACGATGAGAAGCAACGATGTCAAACTCCTCTTCTTTCATTCTTCCTTCTTTTCTTCTTCTCTTCTCTTCGCCGCTACTAGTTCCGTTCTTCTGCTCTGTTCTTCGGTTGAAAGCGAAAATGAGAGAGGGAGGGACTTTACGTAAATATGGGGTGGCGTAAAAAGGGATTAGGCGTGTAGGGTGTTTATTTATAGGTTTGGGCTTTTGGGCTCCGTAATAACTTAACGTACCTGGCCCAAAACGCACTTTTTGGGCTCACAAGCTCCAAATCTGAATCCATTTGCACCCTTGGATTCGCTCCATCCAATCCTACATAATGGTATAAACCTTTTTACCAAACGAAGAATGTTTCATAATTCCACCGAGCCCGTCTCAATAATTAACTAACTATTTTTAGTTAATTAATTCTGATAGGCCAAGTTTTGGGGCGTTACATTTCTCTCCCCCTTAAAATAATTTCATCCTCAAAATTACCTGAGTCATTGATCACTGAGGAGTTGAGGATACTTAGCTCTCATGGATTCCTCGGTCTCCCAGATTGCTTCTTCCACTGTGTCGTTTCGCCAAAGTACTTAACCAAAGGGACTGTATTGTTCCTCAGCTCCTTTACTTCACGCACTAGAATCTGTACGGGGTCTTCTTTGTAAGTGAGGCTCTCGTCGAGGGTGACTGCTCCCTCGAGCAGAACATGTGATGGATCTGATCGATATCTTCTTAGCATTGACAGGTGGAATACGTCGTGTATCTTTTGAAGCTCTGGGGTAACTCCAACCTGTAAGCCACTAGTCCTACTCGTTCAATGATCCGGTATGGTCCAATGAACCTAGGACTTAGCTTTCCTTTCTTTCCGAATCTCAACACCTTCCTCCAGGGAGAAACTTTGAGGAATACCCAATCATCCACATTAAACTCAATCTCTCTTTGCTTGAGGTCGACGTAGGACTTCTGACGATTTAAAGCAACTTTTAGTCTGTCGCACATCAAATGAACTTTCTCTTCTGCCTCATGAATAAGGTCGGGTCTTTTGAGCTTGGGCTCTCTCAACTCGGTCCAACAGACGGGGGTTCTGCAACATCTTCCGTACAACGCCTCGTACAGTGTCATCTGAATGCTAGCTTTGTAGCTGTTGTTGTAGGCAAACTCCATTAATGGTAGGTAACATTTCCAACAATCACAAAAATCGATGACTCAAGCTTTCATCATGTCTTCCAAGATTTGAGGGTGAAACGCTATACTACAATTCAGCTTGGTACCAAGAGCCTTCTAAAGACTCTTCCAGAATTGAGATGTGAATCGTCTATCGCGATCTGAGATAATAGACACTGGCACTCCATGCAGTCTCACGATTTCACGGATGTAAAGTTCAACTAGCTTCTATAAGGAGAAGTCTCGTTGGATAGGGAGGAAGTGAGCTGACTTAGTCAATCTATCCACAATGACCCAAACGTTGTCGTTCTTCTTGGTCGAAAGAGGTAACCCTATCACGAAGTCCATCGTGATCCTTTCCCATTTCCACTCGGGTATGGTTGGTGGATGTAGCAATCCACTCGGCACTTGATGCTCCGCCTTAACTTGCTGACAAGTCAAGTATCTAGACCTAAACTCAAAAATTTCACGTTGCATCGTCGGCCACCAGTAAGTGTTCTTGAGATCTTGATACATTTTATTACTACCAGGTTGCATGATGTACACAGTTTCATGAGCTTCTCGTAGCAGTCGTTCTCTCACTTCACCGCCACGTACCACTCGGTGGTCCCGATAGAACAAAATACTTTTGCTATCAATAGTGAAGTCTTGTCTCTCCCCCCTTAAAGACAAGCTCGCAAGTCTTTACAAAAAATTCGTCCGTAGCCTGAACTGTACGGATCTCACTGTCCAGAGTCAGTTGAAGTCGTAGTTTGGCCATAGTCTTTCGACTCAAGGTATTGGCCGCCACATTGGCCATTCCAGGGTGATAATGAATGTAGCAATCATAGTCTTTGAACAGCTCTAACCATTTTCATTGTCTCAAATTTCACTCCTTCTGAGGTAGTAAATACATCAAACTCTTGTGATCGATGTGGATATAGGTGGTCTCACTAAACAAGTAATGTCACCAAATCTTCAACGCAAATACCATTACTGCTAACTCCAAGTCTTGTGTAAGGTAGTTCTCGTCGTGAGGTTTCAACTATCAAGAGGCGTAGGCCACTACCTTACCCTTCTGCATAAGC